CAGGGCAAACTTTGACCTCTTCAAGCAATTCGCCAGAGGGAGGATCTGGGCAACGGAATCACGAGCACAACAGCCTGGGAAGCAACAGCAGTGGGAATTTGGGCCGTGTGTTGGGCACGTTGTTTTGTGGAAGTTCACTGGGTGTTCACTCGAGTGTTGTTTGGGTTCTGGCTGTGCAGAGTCAGGATGTTTATTTGGGTTACAGAAGGTATCGAGTAGGGAGAGTTGGAACACCTGATAGGAAGGAACTCGAAAGGTTTTCCATGGTGTAACTGGAAAAATGCTGAAATGTGCCTCGGATTTCTGCTCAGGTACGGTCAGCATGGAGCTGGGAAGGTAACAGGATGGGAGAAGAGGTGCAGGCAGAAGGAGGTGACGGGGAAACGTTTCGGTTACAAAGGCTGGAAGTTGGAAGGAAGTTTCCAGTCATCACAGCAGTGAAAACGGTGGTGAAAGTTACAGGGTTGTCCCATTGAGAAGTGAGCGTGCGGCTTCTGGAGACAGCAGCGTTGTGCTCCCCCCTGCCCTGTCCCCTGAATCAGAGGAGGATTCAGTCTCCACCAGATCAGTTGGGATAAACTTAGGCTATAAGAGTTCCCTAACGGACACAAACTGGAACACAGGAGGTTCCACTTCAATTGGAGAAGAAACTTCTTCTCAGTGAGGGTGACAGAGCCCTGGCCCAGGCTGCCCAGAGAGGTTGTGGAGTCTCCTTCTCTGCAGACATTCAAAACCCGCCTGGACGCCTTCCTGTGTAACCTCATCTGGGTGTTCCTGCTCCGGCAGGGGGATTGGACTGGATGAGCTTTGGAGGTCCCTTCCAATCCCTGACATTCTGGGATTCTGTGATTCTGTGATTCCCTCACCTGGTGCTGCCGCCAGAGGGGTGGGCTGGGAGCTCCCACCAACCTTTTCACGTGGATCACGTTCCTCAGTATCAGTGAAAAGCTGTGACTGTGTAGAAGGTGGGAACAGGTAGAGATTCGTCTTGCTCTGCGTGTCTTGAATCCTTTGGTGCCTTTCATTCAGTAACAGATCTTCCAGCTTGAGAGGATGGGTGAAATTCGAGTTGCGGGAGAACTTTTTTCTTCCAAACCTTGAAGTCTCGTAGTTTGTGCGTTTCTCTGGTGGGCTGCGTGCAATCCTTTGTCTTTTACAGTAGCACCCGAGAGCTGTGGTCCCCACAACCCATGTGTCTGCACATCAGTTGAATCCAGCCATAGCACGGCTTCTTGACGCAGCGCTAACGCCGTTCTGGTTTGGTTTTTCTCTTGCAGGAAGCAGTGGCAGGAGCTGCTGTTCTGGGCACTTTGGCGACCCCAGGGTTGGTGTCTCCGGCACTGACGTTGGCCCAGCCCTTAGGGGCGTTGCCGCAAGCCGTGATGGCCGCACAAGCACCGGGAGTCATTACAGGTGTGTTTGCTCTGCCTCTTATCGCTCGTGTACCTGGCACGAAGCAGGGTTCTGTGTAGCTGGGGTCACAAACTTAAGGAGAAGTTGAAGCAGGAATCCTCCCTGCCCTGCTTTGTCGAGAACGGGAATTTATTTTGGCATGTAATAGATACGACAGGGACGGGAACTGAATGCGTGGCACTCTGAAAATCTGGAGAAATGTTACTGGGCAAGTACACGATGCATGGATTGAGTGCTTCTGTCCTACGTTGCTGCTTTTGTCTCCTTGGTTGGTGCTGGTGCAGACCAAATAAAACCGTGTACATTCTTGTGGTCCTCTCCATCAGTGGCTGGTGTGCACCCAGGTGTTGTACCCAGGCTCTTTCCTTTACACTACAGAGTTTGTACTTTTTACAGGTGTGACCCCCGCCCGGCCTCCCATCCCTGTCACGATTCCACAAGTGGGAGTTGTGAATCCTATCCTGGCCAGTCCCCCAGCACTGGGCCTGATGGAAGTCAAAAAGGAGAAGGAAGAGGAGGAGGTGTTCCAGGAGTCAGAGAGGCCGGAGATGCTGAGTGAGCAGGAGCACATGAGCATATCTGGCAGCAGCGCCCGTCACATGGTGATGCAGAAATTGCTGCGTAAACAGGAGGTGAGCGCAGCCTGGCTGGGGGTCCTGGGGGACAGCGGGATGCCCATGAGGCAGCAATGAGCCCTTGAGCCAAGAAGGCCAACGCCATCCTGGGGTGGATGAGAAGGGGTGGTTGTAGGGCAGAGAGGTTCTCCTGCCCCTCTGCTCTGCCCTGGTGGGGAGCATATTTGGGAAACTGGGCCCAGTGCTGGGCTCCCCAGTTCAAGAAGGACAGGAACTGCTTGAAAGAGTCCAGCAGGGCCACACAGATGAGGTGTGGATCCAGCACCCATGGTGAGACAGTGGCCTTGCCATGTTTCCTCACCATCCAAGCACTATCACTTGGAGCAGTGACCACTGGGGAGCATCTCCTGCTGAGGAGCGGCTGAGGGAGCTGGGGCTCTTGAGCTTGGAGCAGAGGAGCCTGAGGGGTGCCCTCATTCCTGGGGATCCATTTGGAAAGGGCAGTGTCAGGAGGAAGGAGCCAGGCTCTGCTCTGGGATGTCCAATGGCAGGACAAGGGGCAATGGGCACAAAGTGGGAGGCGGGAGGTTCAAGCTCAGCAGAGGCAAAACTTCTTGGTGGGAGGGTGCAGAGCATGGCCCAGGCTGCCCAGAGAGGTTGTGGAGTCTCCTTGTCTGCAGACACCCAAAGCCCTGGCCGTGTTCCTGTGTGACTGCTGTGGTGCCCCTGCTGTGGCAGGGGTTGCACTGGGGGAGCTTTCCAGGTCCCTTCCAACTCCTGACGTGCTGGGATTCTGTGACTCCTCTGGACGTGGTCCTGGGTAGCTCTTGAGCAGGGGAGCTGAGGCCAGGTGACCCCAGAGGTCCTGTCCAGCCTCAGCCGTCTGTGGTAGGGGTGCTCTGTCCACAGGGGCTCCATGGGGGATGCACAGCAGGGGTGCGTTGCAGGCACTCGTGCGTCGTTATCCCCTGCAGTGAAAGTGCCTGGTCAACCATGGGTTGTCAGAGCTGTAAAATCCTTCTCCTTTATTTGGAAATGAGGAACATTTTTCCCAAAAAGAAGTACACAGTGGTGTTGAAGATTAGAAAGCAAAAAATAACTGGGTGGGAGCAGCACAAGAAGAGCTGTAGAGGTCTGCAGGTCACTTGTGCTTCAGAGACGCGTTGAGGAAAAGCCCAGGAGGTGGCACTCAGCTTTCCTGATGACGGCTGCCGGTGAATGGGATTTGTTCAAGCTTCTGGTGCCGGGGAGGAAAACTCACTGGTTTATCCCCGAGAACCTGGGATTCGTTTGACTGACGTCAGGGAGCGTGCCCGTGACAGCACTGGGGTACCTGGTGGTGCTCGGGCGAGCTGCTGCTCTGATGGGGCTGTGCAGACTGGAGCTGGGTACGTGGGGTGCATTAATTCACGAGTCTTGTCCTCCTCTCTGCAGTCCACTGTCATGGTGCTTCGCAACATGGTGGATCCAAAGGACATTGACGACGACCTGGAGGGAGAAGTGACGGAAGAATGTGGCAAATTTGGGGCTGTAAACAGAGTCATCATCTACCAGGAGAAGCAAGGAGAAGAGGAGGATGCCGAGATCATTGTCAAGATCTTTGTGGAGTTCTCCATGGCGTCAGAGACTCACAAAGCCATCCAGGCTCTGAACGGGCGCTGGTTTGCGGGGAGGAAGGTGGTAGCAGAGGTGTACGACCAGGAGAGATTTGATAACAGCGACCTGTCCGCATGAACTCGACTCGAGAGACTTCGCCCCTGCCCCTCTGCCTGTCCTTTGTTTCTTTTTTAGCCGTGTATAAAGAACACTCCAGGGCGGGCACAGATCTCTGTGATGTACTCGTAGTTTGGATAAAAGCGCAAAGAAAGCCGGTGTGCATCTGTGTGTGTGTTACAGGGGCTGGCGCGGGGCCGGCCTCGTCCGCCTGGAAGAGTCCTGCCCGTGGGTCCCTGCCTGCGCTCCTGCCTTACGCTGCGGCCCCTGCAGAAACACTCGGGTCAAGATCCCACCTGTGGGGCTGGAATAGCAGCTTTCTCCAGACATGGGCCTGAAGTGTTTGGAGAGGAGGAGGAGGCAGCCTCTCTGTAAGAAGTGGAGGGGATGGGGCAGCCTCTCC